ATTAGACATCCACAGAATTTATAACATGAGTAGTTCTTCTGATTTGTATTGAGAATATTCATATTAAAATTAAGCACGTGTATAAAAGCTTGCAGGGTTATTTTCTTACCAGAATTGCATAGAGATATTTAGATATGCAGTTGTCTCTCACTAGCCCGACTTTTACTCATCAGTTGTTCTAGGCTGCAGATAATGACTCTGCAAACAACTCAATCTAGGATACTTTTTTTAATGTTCACCGAAATTAGTTTATTAGAGATGGAGAGAAACTAACATTTTAAAGTATTTTTGTTTTAAATGTACTATTCCTGTTGAATACTGAGTGGAACAGGTAGGAACAGAGCTATAAATGCATAATTTCAAAATAAGGTGTTAATAGTTGCTCATAGTGAATTAATTTTTAAGTCAGTCTTGCACAGTAAGCTGTAGTTTCAAATAGGAAATATTGTGAGGAGAAAGAAATTTAAACTCATATGATGCCTAGTTCATTTAAGCTAAGCCTAAATTAAGTTCATTTCAAAAGAATTTGCTTTTAGTCATAAGGACTTATTTAGACCCTACTGGTTCTACGTAGTTACATTCACTGGATGGCTTTGCAAATACTGACATGTAGAAAAAGAGTTGGTAATGCTGATCAAGATACGTGCCTGCTGTGTAGATGCTACGTCTATTTTCTTTTTCAAAAAGCTGTCCCTGATGCAGTGTGAGCTGATGGACAGCCTGTACCCTGCGGTCAGAGCCTGGACATAGACTGAATACAAAAGCAATTTTGCAATTTTAGCACCTTCATAACTTTGGAAGAGCTCTATTGCGTGCCATGTCCTTCTCCATATAGATGTCTACATGTGCTTTTTGCCCTGTTGGGTGTCAGCTGCGTTGGCTGGAGCATTTTGTGTCCTGCTTGTCTCATGGTCAGCACTTCACACATGCTCAAGGTCCCATCCTAAGCTGCTGTGTAGGTTTGTGTAACCTCAACGTTAAAGCATATACACACCCGCGCCTTCACTTGGAGGGTGTGCATATTATTTACTTATCTCTTAGAGCAAAGTGGAAGGAAAAAACAAAATTCAAAGGTGTGAATATGCTCGCAGTTGAAGGTGTGTAGCGCGCTTATACTCTAGCTTTTGTAACCATTGATCTCACTTTTCTGAAGCACAGTTCTGGCAGGCAGTGTTATGAACAGGTTTCAGGTTAAAAAATTTTAAACTTCCAGCATGTATTAGCTGCCTGCTGAATTACCTAAAATGACTGTGTACAGTAAGGAGCTAGAAAAAGGAGATGTAAAGAGATTTGTTCTCATCCAGAAAGGATTATAATTTGAGCACAATTGTACCTTTATAGAATAGTAATCATAAATATCATTTAAGTGCAATACATAACACTTACGGAGCATTTTAATTGTGAGTAAAAAGCACTGTATTGTTATGGAGGGCTGTTGCAAGGCTATAGTATTGTTCATAGCTACCAAATCAGGGTATCCTCACTGATTATGGGATTAGGCTAGAAGCACAGATATCATGGATTGAGGAGGCATTATCTGTTTTTTGAAGACTGGTGTTGTCCTCCACTACCTGGCCCGTGTACCGGCAGCCAGGGTGTTGCCATCCTCTGGCAGCTTTTTGCAAAGTTGATGTTTGAAAGAACAATGAGATATTGCGTACGCCCAACTTCCTTTTCAAGTAGGCTTTGTGTTATGGTGTTAGCAAACCAGTACTGATGAGGAAAGATGTATGTAAAGAATGAAGGGTTTTATTGAGGAGTGCCAACTCCTTCTATTTAGAGTTGAAAACACACAGAATATCTCATTAAAAGAGGGATTCTTTATATGAGGAAAGTATGGAAGTTTCTCATAAAGGGTTAACACTTCAGCCGCTGTTACCATTAATATCAAATAATCCTTTAAGAATTAAAGACTGTAAAGCATTTGAGTGGTGTAAGGCCATTAGTTGCTGGCACAGCATACGAAGTAATGTACAGAGGAGATAGAGCAGTGGTTGTCTGTAGTTATTATTTCAGGTACTACCACCTTCCCAGCATAGTGTCTCTCCTCTTTCTATCTGGCAGTGAAACGGTAATCCTGTTCTGCAGCGTGATGGTTTATGGTTATATGGGTGGACTCAAGATTCAGTGTTGGGGCTTCCCTGAAGCACCAGAGAAAAGAAAATGCACAGTGGAAAAGACTTAGTCGATAGGAGGGTAATAGGGTAAAGATCACTTCACAACTGGTATCTCCCTCCATAAAAAGTCAAGGATAAAAGTGGGCTTACAAAGAGAGCTGCTGTTAATGCATTTTAAAAGAGTTACTTAGCAGGCTCAGATGCCAGAGTTGGATACTCTGTGAAGACCTGCAGTGCCACTACTACCTACGCGGTGGGTGTAGCCACAGCCTGAAGGTTGATGCTCTTTGGCACTCTTCCCCAAAGAGTAGGAAAGAAGGAATTCGATAGTAATGCAGTGATGTAACATCAGTACGTTAATAGTTGCTTTGGCTGCACGTTGTGGCTTCCCTGTAAAAAGCAAAATTTTAAAAACTCAAAATGGCTTTAGAAGCACTGCAGCGACGACGGGAATTCTGCCTCGTCAGGATAGATGGGGTTGTGTAAACTTGAATTACAGGTTGAGAAGCTGAACCACACTGGTAAATAAAATACATCAGCAGCCTTAGCTAGCTTCTTGCAGTTCCAGTTCTGGGTATGGTAATGAATCAGAAGGGTGAGACCAATCACACAAAATAGAAGCATCTGAAATGTATGTTCTTGAAAACAACTTTGCCTTCATCTGTTGTTAAATTAATTTCGAATTAGGAATTTTCCCTTGCCTGCCAAGTCTGTAGGGATTAGCTATTTCATGATCTTCTGAAATGCCTGGTGCATTGCTGTATTTGAGAGACTTGCTGGTTTTTAAATGGAATTAGGTTTTGTAAATATTTTCTCAACCCCATTTCAGTGGGTGTCCAGTTTGTATAAAACCTGAAGAAATACTGTGTCAAAACCATGTTTTAGACATGGTTTCCTATAGCATCTCAAGCACTAAATAACAGCAATTAAAATTTGAGACAGCAGGGAGCGATTGCATAAGGTCGTTTTTCAAGTTAACATTGCACGTGCTTTCCTACTTTTACTGAGGAAATAGAATTTCCTCCAAATACATTTTCCAGTATAAAGGATGAAATAACCTGTGGTGCCAAACACTTCAAACTGTATTGCTAAGCATTGCCTCCTCTTATTGCGCTAGTTTTAAAATTCGGTTTTTGATCATTTACTGTCCTTTTGATGGCCTTTTTAACAAATTTCCCCCAAACCGTTTTCTACTGCTTAAAAACACTCATGTCCTTTTGATTATGTCACTGAAACATCCAGGAAATTTATCAGGCTATGGGAGAAAGAAGCACCGTGTGGGGTGAAGTAATAAATAAGAATGATAATTGGACTTTGATATATTGCAGAAATGTACGATTAATCTATGATTGAGATGTGATTGTGTACTCTTATGGAGTGATATACTGGAATATTCTTTTGTAAGAAATTTTAGCCCACATAGTGTTAAATTCTGCAATTAAATCTATGTCTATAATTGATATATAATAATGTAAATGATAACACAAAATTTAAATTTTACAGTTGAAGAGCACACAGTGAACTATGTAAAAATATGATCTTCACTTTGCGAATCATTTTTTTAAAAAGCACTTTCCTATTACCAATTAGCATGTGAATGAATTTTAGATTTTCTCATTTGTTATGATCTGTAGAAGTGAAATTTCTTTAATCTGTCTGTTAATGGGTAAGTTCATCATACAAATGCTGAAACGAAGCACCTTATACTATGCTGCTTAAACTTGCTTGTAATTGCACCTTTTGTTATCTGCAGATTTTTCTTAATGAGTATTCTTGTGCGATATCATTGTTCCCTGTGGGTCTGGGTGAATGATTAACCAACCTACAGCATCATTTACTTATATAGTTTCTATTTCAATACAACATTGTATTGTGAGTTCAGTGCTTCAGAAATAAATGCTACTTCCATTTGTCTGCTTTGGTTGTGTATCATTTATTTCTCTTCTACAAAATTAAATCAAGACCTTCATAAAACTGCAGTAATTTGAAAATGAAGAGAGTATTTTTGCTAGAAGCCTGACTAATTCTTCCCCTACTGAAGTAGTCTTGCTTCAAATTTAACTATTTTAATTTTCAAGTAATTTTGGCTTCAAAATAAATTTTATTTTAATTTAAGCCATTCTTTAACCTTGGGCATGTATTTATGTCTTGCTGCTTATTGCCCTGACTGTAATTATTTAATTTTTAATATGTACATATATACATTAGAGGAGCAGTAGCAAAGAAATAATGAAACATCACCACCTTTCCTGTAGTTGTGGAAGTTGCATCTCTTGGACTATTTTTGTACTACGTAAACAAAGTTTAGATTTCTGTAGGAGTTGGAGCTTTACATCAACTAAAAAAAATAATTCTCATTAAACAGACGACCCTTAGCTTAAACTAACAAAAAGTCACACTTGAACAAGAAAATACACTTCAAAAAATCACAGAAGTTGTTTGAACCTTTGATGGTAGGTTAACACGCGTACATAACTGATAAAAGGGCTCCAGCTTGGAATAAGACTTTATTGCATTTTGTACTATAAAACCTGAGATCATTCTATTTAAAGCAAGTGTAAAATTCTAGTCATAAACATAAGGTTTAACTGAAAACTTGTTTTTTGTAAGTAGTTGTCTTTTCTGAAACCCGTACTTTCAAGTTAAATTCTCTGAACTGGCAGGTGCCCACTGGAACCCAGTGTGGAAGTGTGCGGTGTCCGACTACGCTCTGCTGCAATGCTCATTACAATACTGGTGGACATTGTTGGACTTTTTCCACCAGTTGTAGCCCTGGAGATGTTTCCTTGTTTTATCTGTAAGGACACGGTCACAGAACGTCAGAGTGCATGCTTCTGTCTACACGCGCAGCACTTATTTGTAGTCTTTTCAGTCAGCAGCTCATTAACAGATTACAATTACTGTGCCTGTCTTATCAGCTGGCTCTGTGTTTTCATTGTTAAATGGCATAAAGCAGAATTTCCAGCTGACAAACGGATCTGTAGACCACATCTCCTCTGTCAATTCAACATCGTGACATCGACACCAGTATGCTATGGCGATGAGAAAGCTGTTGATGAAGTACAGCCAGGGGACGTTCATCTCCATGTAGGCTGGAATCCGAGCACCGAGAAACAAAATGATAATTTGAAGAAGAACAAAAGGTGCCCAAGTGCCAAGAAAACAGATGAGGAGTCTGGTCAGGAGCTGCCACTTAAAGCAAGTGCTGTTGTTGTTAGACACATAGGAGAACATCAGAACAGGCTGACTGGCAAAGGAAATGACCCTGACAGACAGCAGCGTGGTTAGAACTTCCTTCCGACAAGTCATGAGAGCCGTGCCGATGAGCAGCACCATGGCACAGGAGACTGAGTAGCTCTGCACGCTGGCATAGAGAGGACACTGATAAGGAGGAAAACGGTTCTGAATTTCTAGTTCTTCATAGACAGCAGGAACTTTCAGAATACAAAAAAACCCTGACATCCATATAACAACCACAGCAAATACGTAAAGTAATCTTTGACCTCTTTTAGGAAATTGAGAGGTTTGGGCTATAGTCATGTAATAATCCAGACCAGCCACAAGATACACCGGGTAATGCAAAATACCATAGGTGAGAGAAATTATCTGAGTGAATAAGCAAATATGGTACTTTGTAAATCGCACACCCCAGAGTGCAAAGTCCTCAAAATAGAAAATGAAAAATAAACTCATCAGCAGTGTGAAATCGAGAAGTGCCAGTGAAACACAAAAGTTTCCCATAAAACTAACTTTCACATTTTTTTGCTTAACTTGCAACATGAAGAAATCAAGGAACACTTTTCCGAGCATAATCAGGAGCAACATGCGGCTGATTTCAAGAGGTTGGTTGACGTGGGTGTAGTGGTACTGACCAGAACAATTTTCACAGAGAATGGCAGCCATCCTCCAGTGGCGAGAACCAGCACAGTAAGTATCACAGGGCCCAGAGCTTCATATCTGAAAAAGAAAAAAAAAAAAAAGGTTTGTAAAAATTTATTTCTGAGTACTTTTACCAATTAGTTCGTTCTCTATCATAGCAACTATCAAATTTATGTCTGAATTTTCCAGGCTCCTTAATTAAGAGTAAATAGCTGTACTAACACATCATTGTCAAGAAGTGTCTAAATTTTATCTTCAAATTACATTCTCTTGAGAGTTAAAAGGGCAACATAGACCTAAGTTACTTTTCTAGCTACTTTCCTAAGGAAAAGTTTATGAAATAAGGTTGACCGTTCCTTTCCTTTAGAAAGCACCAGCGTCTTCCTGCCTAGTTGGGCAGAGGGATGGATGTTTCAGAGCCCCTTACATATTTTGAAGACATTAGATAACCACATAGGACAGAAATCATACAAGACGCAGGAGATGTTACAGCAAGCGTGGCCTCACAGTTCATTGTTGCTCGTACAATCTGTACAGAATTGAGACAGCAGAAATATCCTGAAAGCAGAAAAAGCATTAACCCAACTCGTCCTTTTTAGCTGCTAAAAAGCTGGAACTCTGAGGCAATTCAAAGCACACATGCTTCATTAGGGCTTTTTCGTTCATCCGTTCATCCGTTAGCAATATAAATATTACGGCGGTAAGACACCTTAGAACAACTGTTTTTCCTCTTCAACTTCCGTAAGTCTCCTTATGACAACTCTTTTCCCTGTATTAATTCCTAAAGAGAATGAACACAGGACAGCTTCGTGTATGTCAGCAAGATGTATTAGAAAAGGCTATACGTACTTTCTCCTCTCTTTCCTAAAGAAGCAGGATGGTGTCAGCATTCTTGGTGACAGCAGAGCTGAGAAGCCAAGGGCGGCCGTAACACGGAATTGCCTCTTAGAATCTCTATTAACAGTGATTCGCTTGTATTTAAACAGGCACCTACATTTTATTACTAGCTCACGGGAGTCGGCGGACATCTGAGTTAGCGGACATCTGAGTTAGCGTCTCCTGAAGCGCGGGATGAGAGGAACAACCCCAGCAGTACACCTCAAGATGTAGCCACTGGCTACAAGCCTACCTGGCCGCTTCACTATCCACCTGTACATTTCATCCTCTAAAACCAAACACGTTTTACAGTACAACTTAAAACAGCTTTCCGCGTGTCTCTTCTCTTCACATACCGGCCGCTGTGCTTGTGTGTGCAGAGAGGAAACCCGCACGCACGGCAGGACCGTGCCATGCAAGCCACCCCTCAAATCCATTACTATTATTTTTATTGTAACGCAAAATCACCTGGGCGCAGGTCAGGCCTTTCGCCTGCTGCTCCCTGACCCGGGGGCGGCGCGG